ATGAGCTACAGTACACTCCAGCACAACATAATTAAGTGTTTGCAACACTCTGAGAACAACAGGCCCTGTTCTAGGTGAATTAATGCCTGGTCCCAGGTGAATACAGGGCCCGCTTGGCTCAAGGCGAACAGATGCCAAGACAGGACTGCACCAAAGGATGGCTGCTAGAGATACATGAGCATTGATGTCAGCTTCAAACCTCACCTGTAGTACTCCGAGACAGCACTGATTCTTGTCCAGCAGAGAGAGACAGAAACACAGAAGCTCAGTGATTGTTTATGTACATGTCATTTGAGGCAGACAGACTCATGTTCTCCCCCCTGCACTGAAAAAAAAATTCTCTCCATTCATTAAGGGTCCACAGAAGGAGATTCCATTAATCTGTTCATTAGGCCACATCAAAAATGAAACTACTTATTAAAATCAGATCCAGCTGTGTACTCTCGTTAAAGCCCGCCGTACCGTAAGAAGCTTAACAATGCTCGTGGCAGTAGACCAAAACCCGGCCACAAGAAAGGGGGCAGAATATTTTACTACACTGGCCTGTTTTGACTCAACACACCATAATAATTGCTCTACTCTTAGCAGGGGGCTATGAATAAACATTACTTTTGTCAACGAACATCTGAATGCTCCATTTCCAATTAATTTACATTTGCCTAGAAATGGAGGGAATAGCTGCTCTTAATCACAATGTTTTATTTTCTCAATTACCCTCAAGTCTTTTCTGATTCTCTCATTCTCTGTCTGGCACTTTCATTCTCCCAATTTCTTTTTCTACCTCTCTCTCTCTCTCTCTGGAAAATCCCATTAATCTCAGCCAGTGGTTTTGAACAAAAGTGATGGGCTAAGCGATTGATCTGGGCATTGATCTCACTTGCCTGAACGATCATAAAGGTGTTAAATTGGTTTCTTAGAGAATATGTATTTTTCATTGCTGGCTGCTGCAAGTAGACGTTCCTGCTTTTTTAACCAAACACTGGTGATGATATTAAAATATTGAATAGATCACACCTTGAAAGGTAGCCTTAAATGTGAATTTTAAAGGCCAGGTTGAAGCATTTTCTGAGGAGTGTTTTCTACATAAGCATGAACCTTAAAAGCTAAATCCTTGTAATGAGCTGCTCTGTCCAAGGACAGCTAGAGGCTTGGCATTGTTCAAATGTGTACAGTAGAAGTAGACAACCCCTTCGTTTATATTATTGTAATTTCTTTCTTTAATATGTTATCACTAAATTATTGTAAATTGCTACTAGAAACTAATATCTGAGAGAAAATGCATTCCCACATTTTACTGTATCTTAATAATATAGAACATCTCAGAATTATATTTTCAAAGTTTTCTATAGTATGAACTAAAAACTGGAGAAATTAGAACGTTATCATAGAACACTGGAGCTATAACATGTCAGACTGGCATGAAAATATAACTAAATGTAGCTTTGAATATTTATTATCCTTGGGTTATCCATAGAGCAAGATGTCTTTATTTTTAGAAGGTATTGGGCTATAACAAGCTGCATTTCAACAATAATCTGTATGCAGGTTCAGTTTATGTGTTAGAGGCAACCGTTTTTTGGGCAAAATGCCTATTACTAGCTTTGCTACAGTGAAATAAGAACTACAGTCCTCGTTTGTAGTACGTTGTACAGTAAGGTGTGGTACGCTGAATGTAGGATGAGTAAAATATAATAAATTATATTAGCTAATAAAACTACTACTTTAATATTTTTGAATAATCCAAAAATATCTCATGATGTTTCTCAGTCAAGAGTTGTTATGTTAGTAATAAAATGACAAAGCAATAGCAGTAAACATAAAAGAACACTCAAGGAATAACAACACAAGTTTGTTTCCTACTGAGCTGACATTCTTAGTAATAGTAAATCTGCAACTGGTTAGTGTTATCTTAATTCTCCATGACTATACAGTGAGATAAAAATTAACCAAGCAAATAAATTGCCTGTTTTATTGGTCCTGTGAAGTTCAACAAACTGCTTATTTGAACTTTGTAGTGTCATATTGTGAATAAATCAAACTGAAAGACTACCAGCCACTGACAGTCAGACACTTTTACTGACAGTATTTTCTCTGTACAGATAGTATTCAACACTTGCCTGCATAAAAACACAAGACAAACGAGTCATCAGCTCCATGTCAGACGGTTCATGTTATCTGAGCAAGCAGGCCACAGATCTCCTAAGATCAGGTGTCATGAATGTTGCTCATTTGACAGAGCAAAGGAAGCGCTTGTCAGGGAAACAGCTCGTGTCGCTGTCACTTAAAAGTTCAGCAAACTGAATCACAACCCCTGGCCCGCCCTTGTGCCTGTCTGTCTGTCAGCAGTCCCCTTCTTCCAGGCGGGTGTCTCCTGCCCTCATCTAGGCTGCTATCACCCACCGTCATCCTCTCTGAGTTTCCCCTCTTTGATGACCCAGGCCTCTTGTCAGAGAAGAGCTTCCAGGCAGGCAGAGTGAGGACAGCCCTTTGATGAGGACCCCAACACCACTGACATGGGGCAGGGGGCGTCTTTTGAAGAGCTTGGGCCTTACATGTACCCATCCATTCATGTAGACACACTTACATGTGCTTGCAGGGTCTTTAGATGGAGAGACAAACTGAACCAGAGTGGGGCACAGTATAGAGAACTCTCTCCTTTGACTGCCTTCCATGATCTTAGATAGTTTTAATGAAGGCATTTGAATTTGGCTTTTGTCCTATGCTTGAGACGCCTTGATATGTATGGAGCCAGAAAAAATAGATGTACAGGAGGAGGGAGGCAAAAAACAAGTCCACAATACTGTCAAATTTGCTAGAAAAGGTCACAGAAGCTTTGTTGTATTTTACTTTTTATTCCACTGATAAAAAAGAACTCGAAGATGTTGGTCATTCCAAGATTAGCTCCTTAGTTTTGTTGTGACAGATTTCACTGTACCATTCTTTTATTATATCTTGGGAACAGGTTATTTCAGTTGTCAAATTAGCCCTAATGTTATTTTATCACTTTTAATACTTCATGACTGTTTGAAATGTTATGAAAATTGTATGGAAAGAGAACTTTAACCTGATTGTCTATTTTAAAAGGTAGCTACTGAAAATTATGTCTTTTTTATGTTTGGGATGTCATATACCAATATCCATTGTTACATTTAATATAATTTCATTTCAAAGCCAGTTTTACCTGATGGTATTGACTGGGTTATATGGGTGGGGTCGACAGTGTTGATGTCCTCCAACAGTGTGGGTGATTTGCCTGAACAGCATTATGGCACAGCTATTGTTATGGCTGTCTGAAAAGTACTCAGATGTATTTTGAGAACAATCTCTAATCACCAGCCAAAACAGTCCTAATCAACAAGAACTAGACTTCAGACTTGGCTGCAGCCAGTGGCATGTCAAACAAGGTAACATGGTGTTTGACGTTTGTTGTCACAGCTATACTTGTTGACATCAGATTAACACCTAAAATGGATTCCTGTACGGTTTCCAGATGGGGCAAAAAGGAATTCCTTTCAACAGTGTTCATGCTGCGGTGCTACACCTGCCCATGTCACAAGCTTATAACATCGATCCACATTCTTTAACCTGCAAACTGTGGTTGACATTGGCAATGAACAGACAGGTCTCACAGACTAAAAAAAAAAAACACAGTAACTCACATCACCACAAAAACACAGTGTGCCCAGAAAGACACGTTATTCCCAAAGATACAACAAAGAGCGCAATGTTTGTTGATAGAAAAAGGGGGGAAAGGGAGGCATAAGAAAGAAACTCTCATATATTTTCCTCATTCCTCCCCTCTCAATGTGCTCTTTTTTTGTCTGAGTGTGGCTGCATGACTAATGATTAACACAGCCATGCATGAGAAGAGACTAGCAGATACAATGGACAGGGTTGTTTTGGTGCACAAACCCAGTGGTTCACCTGTGTCAGCTTCCCAAGCTCACCTGGCAGATCCCTGGGAGCCAGCGTCTGGCATTCAGAAAGGAAAAAAGAGTGGCTACTTAATCATTATCATCTGTGGAATTACTCAAACTGCTGCAATGGGCAAACAGATAAACTTGGCAACATTGTTAAATCAGGCGCGTAGCGAGTGTGGAAAGGTTCACATGAGAAAGCTTTGGAGTGTGTACAGGGGACCTTTGAGCTTTGTGTAGGGTTAAAAAACAATGCCTGTGGTGCACAGCTGATCAATAGTGACTGACCAGTGTGCAGGTTTACCTTGCAAGCTACCTGTGATATTTACAAGCTGCGGAATCACATACCTCACCTTCTTGTTTTGAGGACGGGACACTTGGCTTTATTATGTGTTAGAGTGAAGACTTATAACACTTCAATTTATACACATAAAACAAGATATAAATGGTATTTGTTTAAATGGAAATGGAAATAATAAATTGGAAATATTTTTATTTCTAAAGTGAGCTTTTATTTCTTAAAGATATCCTTTAACTAGCATTGAAAACTAAATATTCTGAATGATTTTATCCACCAAGTACAATAAATGCTCATAGATTTGTGATGCTGAAGCTGGCCTACCTGTAAATCAACAGTTTGTAGCCAAGTATATAAAGTATAGACTAGTTTCCATGTGCAGTCAATAGTTTGTCTAAAATACCATCCACCATCTAATTAAAATACAAGTCTCTCAACAGATGGCTAGATGCTTATATTGTATCTATTATAACAAACTGACAGTGAGGTTTTCTTCTTGGCATACTGAACATTTCCACCCCTTTGTTTTTGTAATTTGTGCAGACTAAGCTACAAAAACAGCTTTTCATGTTGATCTCCTTATAAGCTTTCAGTCATTCCCCTGTATGGATGCATGCACAGCTCACAATGATGTCACGGAAAATCCCATCTATTCTGAAAAAGCATCTGCAGCAAGTGACACACAATACAGGCCCTGACACACAGTGAAAGGGGATGGTGAAAGACGTATGCTCTGCAGTGATGATGCTACAAATAACTGAACTGTGGTTTTTATTTCTAACCAGGTGGACGACCAGATGAAGCTGCTGCAGAACTGCTGGAGTGAACTCCTCATCCTCGACCACGTCTTCCGGCAGGTGGTGCACGCCAAAGAGGGCTCCATCCTATTGGTCACTGGCCAGCAGGTGAGTTGGTTTAACCAGCACTTCCCTTAAAGCCTGATCACAGCGACGCACAAGTCAGAACTTCATTAGAAATAGATTATGCTTACAGATATAAACTATTGTGACCAGAATAATTAACTAAGCGTTTTTCTCTCAGCACATGAGGACTCTAACAGTGAATAAATAAAGCACTGAGCTACATAGGCTGCAGCATAGTGAGTAGGCGGGCAGATAAAAAAAAAAAGTGGCTAAGTGTGAGGAAGTTGGTGGGAGCTGATGCCTGAGGCCTGAATGGAGGCCCTCAGCATATCAGGATGCCGTGATTGTGGTTTCTGTTTTTGCTTCATGCAAACATAGTCAAACAGTAAACACACACACATCTAGTGCGGGCAATGAAGATTCCTTCAGCATTTAATGTTTCTCATAATCTCATAGGCAAAACAGAAAAAAACTCACCTCATTTAAAAACTATAGCACACACACACACACAAACATCCAGGCATGAATATACACATGAAAGACATAAAACCGCTCATTGTGAATATGCCTCTGACCAGTGGCTGTCAGTGAAATGAGAGTCATAAATTATTGATTGGCAGGCTCTCTAAAGCACTGCTCTTTAATAAAATGTTTCACAACAATAGATGCTGGTATAAATATTGAAGCAAGGCAAGTCTGTTGTATACAAGGAGGTCCTGCTTTAATTCTTGATTCTGAATGAAGACTAGGTCAGGGGTAGATTTTCAGAATAGGTGAAGAAGTACTATCTGTGGTAAGTCAGCAGCACCAGTACTAGCAAGTAGCATCATAAAGGAGCATTGTATACTAGGCTTCATAGAAAAAGACTAATGTGACCTAGGACAGGAGGTGGTGAGAAGGTGAACATGTGTTGGAAAAAAGCAAGAAAAAGAAGAAGAAAGAGCCAAAGAAAGGAGAAGTGTTGGGGTAGCAAGTGGTGCAGAGTGAGGGAGAGGATGATAGAAGTGGAAAAGGATGAATGCACAATGACGGCCAGAAAAAAGTCTGGAGATGAAAGAAAGAGAAGCAGAAGAGACACAGACACATATAAGAAAAAGAGAGAAGAGATGGAGGTCTAAGGAGGGGACAACAGGAAGGCACTGGTATAAGGCGGAAAGGAATGATGGAGGAAGTAACAAGGATGAAGTAAAGAGGAGAGAAGAAAAAGAGAATAGGAGTGAATGAGGAAAGACATGACATGAGGATGGACAGACAGAGGACAAGAAGAGAAAAAGGGTCAAAAGGTGAGAAATAAGGAGAAGAGATGAGGTGGGATCAGGGAGGAGATGATGCAAAGGCAGTTTGAGGAGAAGGGAGGAGGAGGGGCTGATAGTCAGGGAAGGTGCAGGGCGGCGGTTTCGTTTGCATACAAGTTAATGAGCAGCTGGTGAGTGTGTGTGTGTGTGGGTGGGTGGGGGTGTTGGAGTTTGAGAGAGAGCGGAGGCTCTGAAACAGTCAGTTCATTATCTCCTATTATTCTCTGCCTGGCCAGCGGTGACAGCACAGTGATTACACCAGGAATATTTAGACCACAGTAGGAGCATCACCTACATACCACACACACGCACACACGCACACACGATATAATGACTGCATGGGCACTGTGCATTGACACTATTGGTACAGATAACTTAATTGGTCCATAAGGTCATCATACTGGTCTACCGGTATATGACATTCTATGTATTGTTTTGACCTGCGTATTATTATGCATGTTTGTGATTTTCAACATTTCTTAGGCTCCTTTTTCGCTAAGCCTGATAAAAAGGGATTGAACTGGGATTGAACTTTACTCTGTACATGCAGATAAAGACAGATGAGCCTGTTGAGAAAAAGTCCACATGTGGTTGTGATGCATCCTGGTCTGTTTTCTGTTGCTGCAGGTGTCAAAATTGACATTTTATCTGTTAGAAAGTTTGAGGTCAAAAGATTTCACATTAAGATAATCACCTTTATCGGCCAAGTACACACAAGGAATTTGTTTACGGTACAGAACCAATGGCAGCCATCTGCGGCGCCACCTCAACTGATGGCTCTAACCATCGGGGGCAACAGGAGGGGTTCAGTGTCTTACCCAAGGGCACTTCAACACGTGGACTGGAAGCACCGACATTTGAACCTTTAACCTTTTGGTTAGGAGATGACTGCTCTACCACCACACCACTGTCGTCTCTCACATTGTGAATGAACCACATTGACAATAAAATAGAAACTTGGCCTTTTTTAATAACTTTCCAATTTTTTAATATTAAGGCAGATCAGGCCATTTTTATCACAACAAGATTTAATTTGACATTAAGTTTGCATTAGTAAAAACTGGCATAGTTTCAGGGGTTTTTCTTTCAGAAAAAATGGAATTTGAAGGCAAGATTTGTTCAGATGCAAAGTCTGGACACGCATCTCCCCTTTTCAAGTCACTTTTCTGCTCTTGTCATAGACTGAGCTGATGCCAGCGTCTGAAAGGGAATCCATGGTACAAGCTGATTTACAGCATGTCATTCACTTTCTGTCTTGCTTCATCTTTTGTCCTTATGCTTCTTGCCTCACTAATTCTGATCATTTTCAAATTTTGTTTCATTTTCTGTACGCCTGTATGCTTGTCACCACCAACAGCAGTGAGAGATGGCTGTGAGTGTTTTTCTTTTTTTTTTGGTGGAAGAAAGGAGGCTTGTTCTTTATCTTGTCATAGGATCAAATGCAAAGTGCAGCTTGTCAAAATGCAAACGAAATGACAAAAATTGAACTGAACTGTTGAATGGTTAAGCAAAACCTTGCAGCTTGGCAGGCATTTTTCAAAATGAAAATCCTGATATTTTGATAGCATAATGCTCCTGGTGTACATGAAATTCAAATGATGGAAAAAAAAATGCAAAAGCAGATGTTCCTCAGCCAGTCGTACATTTCTTTGCTTTCAGACAAGGTACCTTTTCCTACAACAAAGCTCTATACCCATCAAACCTGTCTCACCTTCCATATTCATCTTTAATATTCAGCTAAGCTTATTCAATATATTCATGATGGGTCAAAATTTGAAGGTTTATTGATATATTTACTCTCTTCAGGAGGGATAATAAAGTGGTATTGACTGATACACAGGTCACCAGGGTTAGTGCAAAGTCTGCTATAGTGACATTATAGTGTTTTTTCTTCTCTATTTTTTACTTAAGACCAGGAGGCAATAACCCAGGGCATCACCATCAAGAGTCCAATCCTTCAATGAAGTTATTTCATGCACAGTTGATTTTATGTAAATTGATTGACATCTTGGAAAGGGGGCAGTGTCTGCTTTTCACCAAGTCATAACTCACTCCGTCTCGAAGGTGGGAAGAAGGAAAGAGAGGGACAAAGGAGTTAAGGATAAACTGGAAGAGAGGAAGAATGGTCTGGTAAATGTGAAAGGAAAGTAAGGGAGGTAAGCAAAAGAACAGATGAAAAACATGGTGCATTGCTAAAATTTACTTTAGCTTGACCCCTTCTTCAAGCACAGAGTATAAAAATGATCCTATTTACATGATAAATAAATTTCAAATTCAGCCTGTTTTTAATTGCAAATGGGAGCTCGCAGGGAACCGCTTCCTCCCTGAGCTTTAGGAACTGCACACGCCAACATCTACCTTTCCCTGGAAACCCTCATACAGTCAATTATGGTAATGAATTGTCAATAAATATAAAAATTTAATATGGTCCTGCTTACTGTGAATGGCAGCTAAGAACGTGCCTCCCAGACAAATGTGCTGCAGCTGTGAATATGAAGTGCACCTGAAAGAAGATTGTGCAAGTATGTTTGGACCATAAAAAGGCTGCTTGGCCCTATGCTCTGGAACAACCCATGTGAGTGTCTCCTGAAACAGCACCCCTATTGCGGCAGGACCACGGGGCCTTTGTTGCTATGGTTACAGTAATAAAGTCATGTTTTAATTAGGCATTGGCACAAAAAAATCTTTGTTCATGCTAAAGAAAGTTTATGGTTTAGGCTAAAATAAGTACTTGTAATGTTATGGGACCATAGTCGTCATGGTTACAGTCTTAAATAAGTGTCTCAGCATTGTTTATATTTTGCTGTCTAACAGACGATAGAAAGAGAAGTCAAATCTGACAGGTCTAGTCATTCTGAGGTGACCTCTCGTGCACTTTTCATCCACCCACAGCATGTTGTCACAGAGTATGGTTAAAGTGTAAAGATTTTACAGTCTGCAACTGCTGTTTTTACACGTCCACTTTCTGATAGACAGACCAAAGCTTTTATCTGCACGTTGAGAGTGCAGTAAGGCAGAAAGAGGAATTTTAAAAATCATTACATAAAGTTTGTGGTGATGGTGGTGGTAGAAGATATGGCATATTGCTCATTATACAGACTATGATACTGGTTTTAAAAAATAAAACTCTACAAAGTAGTAATGTTATTTCTTTGTGTTTAGCAGCTGTTTGTCCTGCAAACCTAAACAGACTCACTATGCTGTTGAAGATCTATTTAAATCCTTGAATCTCTCCTTATTCCAGGTGGACTACGCAGTGATTGCTTCACAGGCAGGAGCCACCCTCAACAACCTGCTGAGCCACGCCCAGGAGCTGGTGACCAAACTACGCTCCCTGCAGCTGGACCAACGAGAGTTCGTCTGCCTCAAGTTCCTCGTACTCTTCAGCCTGGGTGAGTGTCCGAAAGACCTGAAATTTGAATGCGTGTGCGTGTGTGTGTGTATGAGGGGTGGGGGTTAAAGATTGAATGGCTGCCACTGTTCCTGCCTCCTGAAACATCCCTGATCCTGAGGTCGGAGTAGAGTATGGGATTAAAGTGATCAAGGTGACAGAGAGAAGTAGTAAGGATGGGAGAGACAGGAACTGGGTGGAAAAAGGGGTGCAGAAGGGGGTCAAAAGAGTCTCCTGGTAAAAGATCTATGGTGGGATGGGGATTGGAAGGAAAGGACCAGTGGTCTGGGAGTCACAAAAGGGAAGGTGAGGAACAAGGATATAGAGTAGATGTTTGGCCCTCTTCCAACAAAGAAAGGGTGAAGTCAAGCTTCTAAGTGTACATGCAACTATGCAATTTAAGTTCCCTTTTATGCAACAACTCAACAACTCATACGTTTCTTGAATCTGACGCATTCACCATAGACAGGTTTGCTTTCTGATAGCTGTCTCATACATACAGTACATATATTATCACTGGCAGTGCCAACAGCAAATTGCTCACTCATGTCTTGGTACATCAATATGAGTTGTTATTTTGACAGTTTCCTTTTTTAAATGTAGCTATTGCTTTCTAATTGTGTGCCATGGGTGCAACAGTAATATAATAAGCATCAGCTTCTAGATCAATAATATTAGATACAAGAATGCTTGTAAGATGTATGATCATGTACAGTATGACTGAAAACCATGAACTGAGAAGCAGTTAGCTGGTTGGGTAAAGTAAGTGTATGAGACATTGAGGATGGGGAGTTTTGTCAGCTTTAGAGGGTAAGAAGGGAGCTGGGGAGGCTAGAGATCAACTGAGGAAGACAGAAGGGAAGAAGGAAAGGAGAGAAGGAGGAGATGAGAGGTTGAGGAAGTGTGAGAAAATGGGAATTGGTGGGAGGCAGGTACCATGAAGCATTTGGGACTGAAAGGTGCAAGGGAGCTGAGGCTGAGCAGAGACAGAGTGCAATGGAAGTGGAGGGATAAGTAAATAAATGAGTTAAGGGACAAAGCGAAGGGTAATGTTGATGTGTGCATGTCCAGATCCCAAAGGTGCTCTCCACTCTCTATGCCGAGGTCAAACATGGCCAGGAGTCTGTCATTTCTGTCTCTTTCCTAACAAGTCTACAAGAAATGGCCTCTGATGGACACACACACAAACAAACACACTTGACCAAACCTATTTTAACACCCTACATTACTGAAGTCAATGATGTAAAGTTAGCTTCACTCAGTCTGCCCCCCTCTTTAACACCTACTGTATGATGAACATTTTCTTTAGCAGTCCCTCCCACCATTCATCTGTAATCCACAAGGGTCAGGCATTGACTTCTTTACCGCTTCTAAACACAGAAAGGGAGACTAATGAACTTCTTGGTAAAAGCACACAGACACATAAACACACATACACACAGTTTGTGTTAGTGGCATTTGTGGTACAGTAAAGACAGAGGTAGGGATGGGCTTGAGTGCAGTGGGGCTTTGGAGTGTGTATGTCTGTGTGCATGAACACGTTTATTTATGTGGAGTTTTTGTTATAAGGTGGGGGTTTTGCTGGAACTCAGGGTATAAAAAAACTTGGCAGACACATCATCCATAATGAAAGGCTCACCTGAGGGCTGTGTATCGCCCCCGGCAGTGCCGGTTCTCCAGTGTTGCACTGGCCTCCCGCAAAAGAACCCCGACACAGATGCTGTAGAGCTGGCTAATGGGATCGCTGTTATTTTCGGAGGGGGGGGCTTATGGCTTGAGCAACATAAAGCCAGGAGATTTAGAAATTATGTGATTAATATTATACATATACTAGCTGAGCTAGTAACTATCATACATAGGTGAGCGTGTGATTGGCTTTGAGAAAGCTAAAATGCATTAACCTGAGGGAATGTGCATAATGTGAACAGCAGTGGGAAGGCAGGTGTGCCTTCATGCATCTGTGTGTACGTTTAGACAGCTGCCTGTGCTCAACAAGCAGAGCCAATTAATAAGGACTTTAGTGAAATGAGGCATGAAAGTAGCTGTACACTGACTGCTGAACTAAAAGATTAGACTCTCCCTCCTTATTAGCTTTGTTTCATCTCTAACACTGCTCACTGTACTCTCAGCTGGGGCTAATACAAATGTGAAGTATTCATTATGACACTGGTTTGATCATGGGAACTACTGCTTGTTCTACATCACTGCTATTCCCCAACAAAGTGTGACATTGTTGCTTCTATCACAGATACTGTTTTAATATATCAAAGGAAATAGTAATACCTTTTTCTCTATTGCTACTACTATGACTACAACTAATGCTTAAATCATTGCTACTATAGTAGTCACTTGAGCCCAGTATTACTAAGATTTAACTCCATACTGATACTTCTACACCTCATGATTTATATCCAGTGTCACTGCAGAGAGTAGTGTGCTCTTTAAGTAGGAAAATGGTTATCCATACATAACCATACTTTTATTTGGCATAAAAACGATCCTAGCACTCCTCACTGAACATAATCTATGGATTTGCAAAATTATCTTATTACTTGCACTGTGACTCTACTGATAGTACTACTACTGCTCTTCCATGTGGGCCATGGAGGTTAGTGCAGTTGCTTCTTTCCCCCTGCCCCTTTCATTCCCTATCATTCTGTTTGTGTTTTGATTTTTCTCAGTATTTCTCACTCTGTCTTCATCCTGCCCTTTCTCCATCTCTCTGTCTTTCTGTGGATGTATAATCAGTCACCTCCATCCTGCCAGAAGAGCTCTTATTCAAGCCAGCTGTCGATAAGGACAGGGATATAGATGTCACTCTAGCTGAGAGGAGACACTTGTCCTGATCTGTGTGTTTGTTCTCAGAGTTAAACCTCCACCTTTTATTTCACTTTATATCTTCACCTTTCCATTTTCTTTATGTCTCTCTCCATCTCTTTCACTCCATCACTTTCTCTGTCACTCTCCACTTGTCATAGTGAAGGATTACAACTTGTCTGGTGTCAGAGCACTGTTAATGAGTATTTGATTTTCTTTAAAAGGCTTAAAGACCTAATAGAAAGACTGACAAGGTGTTGTATATATGACCAAAGGACAGAGCAGCACCAGAGACAAGGAATGGGTCACTAGTTCAAGTTCAGGCTGAGGAAAGTGCAAAAAGACTTCAGGGCCCATAATTATCAAGCGTATCAGAATCTGTCCTAGGAATCGTGCTGAAAGCTAACTTTGGACTAAAAAAAGTTCTACCTCAGAGTAGGAAGTTATTTATGAAGCATCCTTCTCTCACTGTGCATTCAGGAGGTACATGATTATTTTCAAATTAAAGTTTCAGCCCACTTTCACTGTCACTTCAGTCAAGTGGGTCCATTAGGCCACTGAATCCCATAAATCAAGGATCACACAGTTCACAACCACTTAGGTGTTAATGCTGTGGTAACATTTTTAATTCACACGCCGTCATCAGTGTTCGGGTGATGACTTTAATGTGTGTCGATGACATCGATGACTCCAACATGTCCAGGGAAACCAGCGATTTTTCACTGATTAACACCAAGTGGTGTGGAAGTGAATGAATTGATGCGTCTTCAGTGGAGTGATTTTTCACTGATTAACATCGAGTGGTGTGGAAATGAATGAATTGATGCGTCTTCAGTGGAGCTATAAGAACGATCAAGGTCTCATTTATAACGGCTGATGTTGGGGCAACTGTGGTTCAGTGGTAGAGCAGTCGTCTCCCAACCAGAGAGGCGGAGAATCAAATCTCAGTGCCTGCAGTTAAAGTCTCCTTGGGCAAGACACTGAACCCCCAAGTTGCACCCAATGGCTAGAGCCATCAGTTGAGTGTAACATACTTGGCCAATTAAAGGTGATTATCCTTATCATGACTGTTACTCCTACAAACAGAAGAGCACATGCTGTCTCCACTGAAACTGCAGCCATTTCATCTGTCACAAAAACTATTCAATTTATGGCCGAACTGTATCTTTTAACAAGATCAGCGTCATTAATTGTAAGTCCAACATCTCTCCTCCTGTGGAGTTTGTGTGCTTATCTCTGCCTGAAAGCCACCTCCTGGCAACTCCTAACAAGTTAGGACATATCTGAAGCTCTCCTACTTTTTGGTGGAGATAGGATTGAATGCCTAGAATAGGAATGTTGAAGAATTGCTCTTATTTCTACTCCTAAAAGCAGGACAAAAAATACATCATTCTGAGAATTTTTGGCCAGTTAGCTAAAAGCAGGACAAAAAATACATAATTCTGAGAATTTTTGGCCAGTTAGAAGTACTTTCATACTCTGAGATGTTTTATAAATATGGGCCCAGTCTTCTTTCTGCTTTAGGGGGAATTAACTATCAGCTGCACTGATTGATATGCTCAGAAGAAATCAGAGTTTGAACTAGGCAGCAGTATGAAGTTATAGATGAAAGACCTTTTATTTTAAGAAACAAGGAGAGCACTTCCTAGGTACATTCTGTGATATTATGCAGCTCAAAACCTGCTTTAACCCCTTCATAATTTAACATTGGCAGTGGGAAAAGAAAAATGAACTTCAGCCAAAATACAGATGTATGCCATATGCATGCCATCAGAAAGACAGTTTCCATATTGGCATAGCAGACACAGTGATGGAGGTCAAACTGTGCTCAGCCAGCAACCAGTTAACACAGCTCAGCAGGTCAGACCACATCAGGTGTAATTGGGTGAGACAGGCGCTGCCATTCCTTGTCAGCTGAGAGGAGAACCAGAGTATCTGCCAGACCAGCGCAAGGTGGTAAATGCTCCCAGAGGAAAGAGCAGATTTGTGGACATAGCCCTAAATAATGCCTTTAGCAGTAACAAAGCCAGGGAAAAGCTGATAGAGAGTAGAATTTAGGCTTGTGTTTGATTTGTGCTCTATAAAGGGACTGGTGATACTGGCAAATTCCTACTGTATATAAACTTATTTTATTATGGAAATCACAAATATGTTAAGTTAATATCCAACTGATTTTCTTTCCAC